GATTGCATTTCTTATTGTATATTGAATTGTTTTGTTCTAAAAAAAAATGAATAAACTTATAAATAAATAAATAATCCATCCTATTTGTGGTTAACTACCTTAATTGCCATTCTATAAGCCTCTACTTTCGTCTCACACTTAGTACCCCGTGGTTTATATGCAGGAGCATCTTGTTTATATATTTTTTTTATAATTTTCAAAATTTAAATTTTTATATTGTTTTTGAAAAACTTCCTGCCGTCTCTCGGTAGTTTCCTGCCACTGACTAACATTATTCTTTTGACAGAGCTGGGAGCTCTTGGCTCCAAGCACCCCACCCCTCATGGGGGCAGGCGTTAGTGGCACAGAGTGAATGCTCTCAGGATGTACAACGACTTTTGCTCACAGTTTCAAATTCCTACCATAACTCCACCCACGCTGTCATCATGTGACCAGAAGTCTAACTTGAATGACCAACGAGGCGCTTTCGAGGACCAACCCCCAAGATAAACGTGCATTAATTTCTTCAGATAGTTCCTGTGTTACCGGATTTTGCACTTCATGCACAGACCTGTTCATTTTGTTCAGAATAATTGAAAACACCCAGAGAATTTATGACACAGCTTTCATGTTAAAAGCGATCAGCTGGGAGGACAGAGGAGGGCAGAGCTGCTGCCCGCCGCATCAACGTGTCGATGGTCAGGATTTGAGAAGCAAAAGCAGTCAAGTCTGGTACATGTTTTAATAAGTTTTCAATTCTTCCTGTGTGACATCTTTCTGTGTCAGTGAATATGCATTTAAATACAATAATTAATTAAATTAAATTATAATTTAAATACAGTGATATCATTTTAAACTCACATCCGAACATGAAGCAAGAAAAACAAAAAGGAGTCTTTCCCCCATCCTCTTCCGTCATGACAGGACAGTGGTGGACAAATCGTCAGATATACAGTGCCTTGCGAAAGTATTCGGCCCCCTTGAACTTTTCAACCTTTTGCCACATTTCAGGCTTCAAATATAAAGATATAAAATTTAAATTTTTTGTGAAGAATCAACAACAAGTGAGACACAATCGTGAAGTGGAATGAAATTTATTGGATGTGTCAAACTTTTTTAACAAATAAAAAACTGAAAAGTGGGACGTGCAATATTATTGGGCCCCCTTGTGTTAATACTTTGTAGCTCCGCCTCTTGCTGCAGTTCCAGCTGCAAGTCTCTTGGGGTTTGTCTCTGTCAGTTTTGAACATGGAGACACTGAAGTTCTTGTTCATTCTTCCTGTAAAACAGCTCGAGCTCAGTGAGGTTGGATGGAGAGCGTTTGTGAAGAGCAGTCTTCAGCTCTTTCCACAGATTCTGGATTGGATTCAGGTCTGGACTTTGACTTGTTCATTCCAACACCTGGATACGTTTATTTGTGAACCATTCCATTGTAGATTTGGCTTTATGTTTTGATCATTGTCTTGTTGGAAGATAAATCTCCGTCCCAGTCTCAGGTCTCTTGCAAACTCAAACAGGTTTTCTTCCAGAATGGTCCTGTATTTGGCCCCGTCCATCTTCCATCAATTCTGACCATCTTCCCTGTCCCTGCTGATGAAAAGCAGACCCAAACCATGATGCTGCCACCACCATGTTTGACAGTGGGGATGGTGTGTTCAGGGTGATGAGCTGTGTTGTTTTTACTCCAAACATATCGTTTTGCATTGTGTCCAAACAGTTGGATTTTGGTTTCATGTGACCAGAGCACCTTCTTCCACATGTTTGGTGTCTCCCAGGTGACAAACTTTAAACAACACTTTTTATGGATATCTTTGAGAAATGGCTTTCTTCTTGCCACTCTTCCATAAAGGCCAGATTTGTGCAGTGTACGACTGATTGTTGTCCTATGGACAGACTCTCCCACCTCAGCTGTAGATCTCTGCAGTTCATCCAGAGTGATCATGGGCCTCTTGGCTGCATCTCTGATCAGTCTTCTCCTTGTTCCAGATGAAAGTTTAGAGGGACGGCCGGGTCTTGGTAGATTTGCAGTGGTCTCATACTCCTTCCATTTCAATATGATTGCTTGCACAGAGCTCCTTGGGATGTTTAAAGCTTGGGAAATCTTTTTGTATACAAATCCGGCTTTAAAATTCTCCAAAACAGTATCTCGGACCTGACTGGTGTGTTCCTTGGTCTTCATGATGCTCTCTTGGCTTTGAACAGAACCCTGAGACTATCACAGAGCAGGTGCATTTATACGGAGACTTGATTACACACAGGTGGATTCTATTGATCATCATCAGTCATTTGGGACAACATTGGATCATTCATAGATCCTCACTGAACTTCTGGAGTGAGTTTGCTGCACTGAAAGTAAAGGGGCCCAATAATACTGCACGCCCCACTTTTCAGTTTTTTATTAGTTAAAAAAGTTTGACACATCCAATAAATTTCATTCCACTTCACGATTGTGTCCCACTTGTTGACTGTTCGCAAAAAATTTAAATTTTATATCTTTATGTTTGAAGCCTGAAATGTGGCAAAAGGTTGAAAAGTTCAAGGGGGCCGAATACTTTCGCAAGGAACTGTATTTTTAAAGCATTCAGTCAAGACATATTTAAATAAAAGTTTTTTTTAAATCTTTCTGTGTATGGAAGATATGTGTTTAAATACCAGTATCTCATTTAAGCTTAAACAGGGGCATTAAACAGAACTGAGAAGACATCAGGAAGGGAGGGGCTCTTCCCCCCGTCCTGCTCATATGTGCTCTTGGCTGAGCAGAAATCAAAGTACATTTAAAAACAGCAGTTGTTAACAAAAGTGTTTACCAATAAAAATCAATGGTACTAGTTTAATGAATATTTACTGCATTCTACCGGTACCATTTGACTTCCGGTCACATGACCTAGATAAGACTGGGTTTTACCAGTAAATAATTGTTAAATAATTTCAGTTAGACGTGTGGCACTGTTCTGTCCAGTGATTATGCTTAGTCATTGTGTTCATTTTGAAGATATAATGGTTGTAACCATGAGTCAGACAGCAACGCTTCATGAAGACGTGACAATCTTGCAGTTTGAGTATGTGTTGAAGCAAGCTATATTCTGTCAACACCATCTGCTGGCTGATTCTTGTACTACAAGAAAGCGGCACACAACCGGAGCAGTCTGGGCACAGTCTAAACAGTGGATGACCATGGCTTAATAACAAAGCATCTTATTTATGTACAAAATTATGATTTATCTTATATTTAACAAGTGCGGCTTAGACACAGGTGTGTCCTAAAGTCCTAATGTGCAATGTTTCTGATGTTTCTGAGTGTGGAACTGGGTTGTTCTTGTTAATGTCCTGTTCAGGTTTGCTTTGGCATTTATGCAAGTCTCTGTTATTTGCTGTAAACTGACACAATGAATCAGAGGTTGTTCCCTGAACTGTGAAAAGTGGGAAAGCACTGAGAGGTAAAGTAGTTGCTGTAGTGAAGAGCACTGTTTTTTAGTGTGTGTGTGTGTGTGTGTGTGGGGGGGGGGGACAGCTCAGCGTGAGGGAAATGGAACAGTACCTCTTATAATGTGCTTCGCTAGCTAAGCAAGCTATGTCAATGCTGGCACATGCTGAACGGGTAGGGTGGGGATCGGTTCGATAGGCAGGGCGCTCGGTTCTGTTGACAGGGCTGGGAGCCCTGCTCGTATAATGGTAGGGGAAACACTGGGTCCCTTGCACTGATTTTTTAATTTTTTTAAAAGTAATGAACTCATTCGTGGGCCAGAAATGACCCGCAGGCTGCCCTGAGTAACCTTGCTGTATGGGGTCCAGTATTTCTATAGAGCACTGGTAGAGCTGACATTTCATACTCTCAGTCACCTCAACTACCTCACTAATATCCATAATGTGCAATACAATTGTGTAATACTTGTATTTTTTACTTTCATTATTATATCTATATTGCTTTACATTTTTTATATTTTTAGTGTGTGTTTAATGTGTGTTTTCTTAAGGCATGTTTTTGCACTGGAAAAAGGAGTGGCTCTTAATTTCATTGTACTGCGTATAATGACAATAAAGGCATTCTGATTCTTCTCTAGATGGAGAAATGGTCATTCAGCAACTTTTAATTGATATTTGGTCTGTGGCTGAGGCTCACTGGTATGTAAAGTGTACATTCAAGGATTTAAGGTTCTTTATTGTCATTTGCATCACATGTGGTACATGAGTACCAAACCATCTGTGTTCTGAGAGGGGGGTGAAGGAAACAATTTATGTAAAAAGAAAAAAAAACATCTCTTAACAGAGGAGGCGGCCTCAGATTTCCACTTTCAAAAACCTATAATGCAACTTTAAGACTGATTCCCAGCCAGTTTTCACACCTGATGGGAAGAGAGGGGCCTCATTTCTGAATTAGAGTAACAAAGACCTTAAGAAACCCGTACTGTTAAGGTGTTGACGTGTGAATTGTCAATCTACATATGTATGTGTGTCTTATCTCACTCAGCCTTATAACCTGAATCTCTCACTTACTGCTCATTGAATTGAGAAAGCTCCTCAGATGAGGAGCGAAACATCTGTTACAAATCAAGTCCAGTTGTTTTCGTATTGAACGTTTTTTGAATTTATCATGACCTGGATGACTGAGAATCTTCACCAGCAGAATAAAAGTGCAAAACAATACACAGAACAGCAGCGGCACAATTCTTATATGTTCTGTTCAGCTATAAGTTACACGCTTAATGTGAGCACTACCATAAACTAAACTAACATAAACTAGGATTTATTCAAAGAATGCAACAAAAATACAGAAACAAGGCACCAAAAGTGAAAAAGACACATCTACAGCAGCATGGTCCTATTAACAGAGTGGTTCTGATGAAAGTGAGGTTTCTCTTAGCAACATTGTCCCGTTGGCGCCATGGTACTGCTAGCGGCATGGTTCAGTTAGCAGCCTGGTCTTGTTAGCAACGTTAGCAGGTCTTGTTAGCATGTCCCTTCAGCAGCATGATGATAAGAAGATTTAATTGACTGAATTTAGAGTAGGTGTGTATTCTAACCTTCATTTCATCCAGCAGCTTGAGACAGGAAGCATACTTGGACTCGTAGAACTTGAAGATGATGTCTCGGATCTGAGGTTCTAATTCTAGAAATAACTTGAAGGAGCTGCAACCAGAGATAAGATACTTAGAGTAGTTCTTGTCATAAGATGTAAATATTTTGCTCTTTACTGGTTACAACAACCTACCTGCTAGAGATGACATTACGTTGGAGCTCCTGTCTATCAAATGTGGCCAAGGCACACAAGCCCCCATACACAGCCACATTACTGGGAGACAACAGCTGCAACACAGACCCAAACTTCAGCCTCTGAAACCCCTTCAGCATTTATACAAACAGCTGTGCAGGCTCTAAGCTTTAAATCAATGATCCAGCAGGGATAAACATCACTTAAGTGAACTGAGGGCATTGACTAACCTCTGGACAGTCACAATGATCAAATGAAGCTTGCAGGAAACACTTGGCAGCTGGTTTGTATTTTCTGGAAGCCAATTCAGCCAAACCTGAGGAACAACAACACGGAGGTAAGGTTCATGTAAAGACAAATGTGAGGAAGTTTTGTCCGTGCCCAGGCTGCTGAATGCATTAATCCATCGGATAAGCCCAGATGGTCCTGAACACTGTTCAGAATGATTCATATTAACCCATATTTTCCTAACAGAGCACTTTGCTCTCAGACTGCAGGTTTACATGCGGTTCCTAGAGTTTGTAAAAGCAGAATGGGAGGAAGATCTTTCAGTTATCAGGGGCGGCTGTGGCTGAGTGGTTAGAGCAGTCGTCCTTCAATGCAAGAGTTGGGGGTTCAAACCCACCAGCAGTCACATGCCGAAGTGTCCCTGGGCAAGACACTGAACCCCTCATAGCCTCTGATGTGTGTCCCATCGGTGTATGAATGTGATAAAGCTCTGATTAGTCTCTTTAGAATGATTTCTTCAATTAGCTTTGTAGAGATCTAGTAGAGTGCTGTATGAATGGGTAAATGAGGACACAGATTGGAGTGTAAAGCACTTTCCGGCTATCTTGATTAGACAGAAAGGCACTATACAAGTACAGTCCATTTACCATTTATCAGGCTCCTCTCTTGTGGAACCAACTTCCAGTTTCTGTCTGTGAGGCTGACACAGGGTCCAGTTTTAAGACTGGGATTAGGCCTTTCCTTTTTGATAAATCCTATAGTTAGGGTCAGCTTGGGTTTCCTGAGCTGTCCCTTAGTTATGCTGCTATAGGCTTAGACTGCTGGAGAATAAATTGACCACATTTCCTCAAATGAATAATTACAAATGGATAGTTTGCATTTGTAATTATTTCCAACTTGATGTGTGTTTGTTTTCTTTCCTCCTATACAAAGACCTACTCGCCTCCATTCTGGACCTGCCATTCTGTGTCCGTTACTCCTTACTGTCCTCTCAAACACAAACAGTTGATGCAGCTCATCTTGAGCATGAATCTGCTGGAAGTTTCTTCCTGTTAAAAATACCACTGTCTCCTTTGTGCTTGTTCAAGGTGGGATACTGTGATGAATTGAAGATTCAACACAATCTGCTGCTTCCTTAGATAAATAATAGTAATTGACTTTTTATGAATGTGAATGTTTCTGTTCAGTGCCCTGAGATGACTTCTGTTGTGACTTGGCGCTGTAGAAATAAACTGAATTGAAAATTAATTCTGCAGCCTAAGCACTTATTACACACAGCAACACCAACAACAAACTAAACAAAAAAGGTAATACACAAGTCTTTATTATTTAGATGATGCAACATTCTTATACACCGAAAATTGTGGTACAAATCAGAAAAACAATAAAACTAAAACGTGTCCATGTTTGGAAATCCATGAGCCTATCATGGACAATGACCTGTCTGTGCCCACACTCTGATCTTGATGACAGATAAGGGGCTAACTACTGATCACCATCAGACAGAACAACTCAAACTGTTCCTTGAAGCACATTGGAAGTTATCGAGGAGTGCAATACCTGCAGCACACTTTAACTTGGTGAGGACAGTCTGGTTCTGGCTGTCACGTTCTCCCCTTTGCTGCAGGAAGCACAAACAGATATCTGAAAACCTGCCGACACGTACAGTCCAGTACATAAGGCATTTAAAACACATTACCTCTGCGATTTCTGGAGTGGACTCGGCCTTGTTCACGTAGCTCAGCACGTGGGACCAGTTCTGGAGATAAACACTCACCTTTGGAGGAACAAAATGGAAGTTTTACACACTCTTTTTCTGACAATGATTTGTATGTTTGTATGAAGTGGAACAGGATATTTATGGTTCTCACAGATCTCACAAATTTTAAAGGGAGTTTTTCCTTTCCACTGTCTCCTTTGTGCTTGCTCACGATGGGAGACTGTGATGAAGTGAAGATTCAACACAAACTGCTGCTTCCTTGGATAGATAACTTTTACTAATTCTCTTTTACAATGTATAAGAATGTTTCTGTTCAGTGCTCTGAGACAACTTCTGTTGGGACTTGGTGTTATATAAATAAACTGAATTAATTCAATTCAGTTTATTTACTTATCAATTAATGAAACTCTCAAAGTAATTTCTGTAAGTACATCTTGAACTGATTTAACTTTTGGAGTCAGCTCAGTTCAAGGTGGCTGCCACAGATAACTGACCTTAGAAAACACAAATGGCTAAAACTCAGTCCATTTTAGAGATAACTAGCTAAAATCTGGCTGTGGTTAGTGCGGAAAGTCACCCCAGCATGGACTCAAAGGGCTGCTGAGGGTTACAGGTCTTTGTTTAAAACACTTGTCTGAAGTGTTGAGAGTCAACAGTGTCTGTTTTAAGCACCAACTTAAATTTTATTACTGTTTGTGTTTGAGCCCACTGAGACAGAGACCCAAGACAAAATGTGTCTTCGTGCCCCATTCATGCCCTAATGCTGCAGCAAGCACAGCCATGAAGTCAGCATGTGTTGGGGATCCATCCTGCTGTACCTTTATGACATTCAGACACATGTTAATAACATGCTTAGCACTGGTGCAGTAGTCTCTGGCTCGGGAGTAGCATTTCAAAGCATTACTGAGGTCCCCACAGTCCAGGTAGTGGTCCCCCAGGTCATCATGGCCTCTCCTAAAAAACAAACGAACAATAAAAAAACACTGGTGAGACTGTATTACCCTGAATGGGCAACATGGTGGAGCAGTGGTTAGCATGTTTTTAAATTTAACTACAAAGCTGTTGTGAGTCAACACTGAACGTCCCTCAGTAATACAGCTGCAAAGATTAGTTGACACTGTCGACAATAAAAATAGATGATGACAAATTTAATTGTTGTTAATAGTCGTTTTTTATTACTGATGGGTTTTTTTGTTTGTTTTTTGAAACTGAGTGAGACATCTTCCTGTCCGTCTATTTCTGGCGAGTTTCACACATGCGCAACAGCATTCAGCGGCATGTTTATTCATGGCAGCTACTGGTGAAACAAGACGGCGTGCTAAACGATCCAAGGTTTGGGACGATTTCACTCTCAGTAAAGGACAACATAAACTTATTTGCAAGATTTGCAAAGCGGACTTCACATATCATGGAAGCACTTCTGTGGTGCACGAGCATTTAAAGAGGAGGCACGTCGGACATCTGGAAGCGGACACGGAGTTGGACACTCCCCTGTAAGATATGCTTGTGTAGAGGGATTTGTGAATGGATATCTATATAATTTATTAGTTATGAGTTAAGCTCATAAGATATGCATTTATTTATGTTATGTGGGCACCACCTCTTTAAGAGGAAAAATCAGTCTCTAACCCTCAAATTAACTAAACTGAAACGTGAATCCTTTTCTCGTGTTTAAAGGGGCATCAAATCAGTTAATACACACAGATATGCCAAAATAATCACAAATTTAGTTGATTTTTATGTATTTTATTACAAAAATAATAATCTGATGTATATATCTGATGAGGATTATTCATAAAAAATGAATACACAAATAATAACAAAATTACCTTGTGTCAAAGTTTACTTGATTATTAAATTCAGTGCAACTTTTTATAATTCAATTCAATTCAATTCAATTCAAAAATACTTTATTAATCCCAGAGGGAAATTAATTATTGTTGTAGCTCATTCTCCTGGTTTTATTAAAGAGTTGTTCTAGATGCTGATGGCTGTGGGCAGAAAGGATCTCTTGTGCTGGTCCATCATAGTGAATCTGAAGAAACTGGCCACAGACGCTGATTTGTTTACTTGGACTTGGTGAGACTCTCAGTCCTCCTGGGCAGCAGGACCACCTGAATGTTGAGCAGAACTCTTCCCAGAGCGATGGTCACTCCTCTCAGCAGCTTGTTGAGCTCCTCATCATTGCAGACAGCCAGATGCAGGTGCCTGGGGATGATCCTGGTCTTCTTGTTGTCACAAGCCGCGTTTCCTGCCAGCTCCAGGATTTGGGCGGTCAGGTACTCGAGCACCGCCACCAGGTAGACGGAGATGCATCCACGGCGCCTCCTTTACAACTCATTTGGGATTTGGGACTGTAGTTGGGGTATTACTTGAGCTTTGAGATGTTAATCAGCTGCTCCCAGTTGTAAAAAACATATTGTTGCCATGGTTACGCATAATAACAAATGTCCAAAACTAAAAAGGTTTCAGTAAAAATCCTTCCAGCTGCACAGCATCTGATACCAGAGGAAACAATCATCCAAAAAAATGTAATTTACATCCAGAAAAAGAAGAATTAAAGTTTCCAAAAGCAAAATCTCATAATAAAAGTAACAGAGCTACTCCAGCATGCAGCCACCTTGAGCGGCGCAATTCTAGAACTCTAAAAGGCAGATTTTTGGACTGGTTTGTTGGGGTGTAGTTAAAATTGTGTCCTAATTAACTGTGGTATATAGAAAGCAATATAATTGATGTATGATCACCAGAAAGGCATTAAAGGTCTCTTGTCCTACCAGAATGAGTCGTCAGAATGTCCACAACTGCGTATGAGTGATGCCACCGGTGCCTGAGATGCTATGGGTGACTTAAGAGGAGGATTTATCCTCAAAAGTCACCTGTCATCCGTTGGAGGGACCAAGGTCCGATCACTGACTCTTTGAAGTCAGCTGGGATTTACCACTCTGCGGTGCGGTGGCTCTGGTTCAAATCTCAGGTTAATGCCCGGTTCTGCTTCTGGTCCTCTTCCTCCCCAGGACATCTCACTGGGAGAAAGTTATTCTCTGAAGTTTGCTAGAAGTTCGTTGATGTAGAAAGAGCGGTGAAGTTCCATGAAGTAGTGTACGAAGTCAAGAAGTGATGTGTCTGCCTGTGTGTTACAGATTGACTTGGGACCTCCCCTCGGAAGTGGGATGGTTCTAAACCTTGTTTTATGTTTTATAAAATCTACAGTGGTGGTGTTCCCCTACACTTGAAAGCTTAATAACAGCACACAGGAGACAACTCGTATATACTGTTATTACTGCGCTACAAGTGCATCAGAACAAGAACAAACAGATTCAAGAACAGTTTTTTCCCTAAAGCCATCACCACACTGAACTCACACATGCACTGATTTAATCATCTAACCTCCCAAACACCTGGACTTCTACTGTGCAATACTACTGACATTTCATACTCTCAATCACCTTAACTACCTCACTAATATCCATAATGTGCAATATAATTGTGAAATACTTGTATTTTTTACTTTCATTGTACTATTATATCTATACTGCGTTACATTTTTTATATTTTTACTGTGTGTTTTTCTTAAGCATGTTTTTGCACTGAAAAGAGGAGTGGCTCTTAATTTCATTGTACTTGCGTATAATGACAATAAAGGCATTCTGATTCTGATTTATTGAAAACAGGTATGACTCCAGAACCAATAACAAAAAATACAACTTGAATTAATGTTTAAAGATGTACTTTGGTTTTAAAACAATTTATCTTTTATGAAATTTATGTAACACGAAGAGGAATAGCACAGAAGTCCAACAACAGAACACCGCTCGAGTCCAGATCAGAGAGGTCGTTCCTCCCAATCATGCCCCTCCAGGTCACACTGTAATTACCCCCGTGGGCATTGAAGTCTCTCAACAGAATAAAGGAGTCCCCAGCTGGCGCACCTTCTAGCACCCCTGCCAAGGACTCCAAGAAGGCCAGATACTCTGAACTGCAGTTAGGCGCGTAGGTACAAACTATAGTCAGAGCCCGTCCCCCCCATCCGAAGGTGAAGGGAAGCCACCCTCTCATCTTCCGGGGGAAAACTCCAACACACAGGCCCCAAGTTGGGGGGAGCTACAAGTAGACCCACACCAGCTCGACGCCTCTCACCAAGGGCAACTCTAGAGTGAAATAAGGTCCAGCCCATCTCAAGGAGATCAGTTCCAGAGCCCATGCTGTGCGTCGAGGTGAGCACAACTATATCTAGTCAGTATCTCTCAACCTCGCGCACAAGTTCAGGCTCCTTCCTTGCCAGAGAGATTACATTCCATGTCCCAAGAGCTAGCATTGGTAAGCCAGGGTAAGAGCGCCAAAGTCCCCGCCTTTGGCCACTGCCCATGGCATCATGCACCCGACTTTTATGGCACTTCCTGCAGATGGTGGGTCCGCAGAAAGGCAAATCCATGCTGCTCCTTTAGGCTGAGCTTGACCGGGCCCCATGGGTAGAGACCCGTCACCAGGCGCTCGCCGAAGAGCCCCTCCCCCAGGCCTGGCTCCAGGGTGGGGCCCTGCTAACCCACGTCCGGGCAGGGGACATTGAGTTCCTTGTTTTGTTTTGTCCATAAAAGTCTTCTAAATCGCTCTTTGTCTGGCCTGGTTTCTTCCCATTAGGTTTCCTCCCAGGCTCTCATCGAGGTGGCAGATACTGTTTCTCCTCGCCCGTTTTTTTCCTTCCACCTGCTCTGCTCTCTGTGTGTCTGAAGCGCCTGGGTCTCATCTCCCAAACATAATTTAAGAAGATTATGGATTTGGTATCGTGGGCGTTCAACTCTATTGATAAGATTTTTTCATCAAAGCGACAAGGTCCTGGAGAACTGGCATGTCCAGCTGATACTCACGCTGTGGGGTACGTCATGGATTTGTGGGGAGTGTGGCAGTTGATGTGTATCACAGTTCTGTCTCAAGAGGATGTTGAAGACGTTTACATATTTGGATTTATGATAGCAGGGACTCTGCTTTTTGGCATCGGCGGGGCTCTGTTTTATCGACTTTTGAAAAAGACATTGGCAGCAGTTTCGGCCATGGAAAAGCTTCCGAGTCAGTGCGAAGGTCTGGTCCTCGCTGTGGGAACTTTAAATCATCTGGTTTACGAGCTTAACCGTAAGGTGGAGGCGATTGAGAATCGCAGACCACCTGCGGCTTCTGGGACTCGTCAGCGTTGTGGGTTCGACCTTGAAGGAGACTCATAGCATGGATCAGTGGAATGGAATCCCACAATTAGGCATTTTCGGAACTAGAACGCCCAGATGGACTCAAGGCTGAAGAAAAAAAAAATCTGTCTGCCTGAAGAAAAAACAAAAATCAAGCTTATCTGAATCAGACTCCCGACGACCTCGGAAACGGGCTGACTATCAAATTTCTCCTGGGACATGAGTACCCAAGGACAAAAGCTTCATCTATCCACCCCCCGAGAACTTTCTGTGCAAGCTTATCAGAACTGCTGGCTGGATTAACATCTTCAGAAACTGTGGCTGATCTGAAAAAACGCTCATGGACAAATCTCAACACCTTGATGTCAAATGAAAATGTAATCATGTTTTAATTTTGCTGCTGGTAGAGTTTTTTTTTGATGTCTCAAATCGTGTCCTGATAGACAAGATGTGAAATATATTTTTTTGTAATATCACTATCTACCCTCATGTTTCTCCCCCTTTTCCTATCTAAGATTATTATCTGATAAGGATAAGAATGCCGCGCTCTCCTGTAGTTGCAACTTCGTGCACGCCGCCCATCTTTCGGATGACTGTACGTACATATTCGCGTTGTATCTCGGTGCAATTCCAATAAAATTTATTCTGTTTGTGTCACCTAGGACCAATCTGCCTTGGGAGACCCTACCAGGGGCAATTATAATTGCCCCCGACAGCATAGTTCCTAGGATCAATCAGGCGCACAAACTCCACCACGATAAGGTGGCGATTCAAGGA